TATTTGAATCTTCTTAGAATGAGGCATCATGTGCTGCTTTTTGAGACCTTCTAGCCGCTTCACATCGCCAGACAGGTTTCATTTGAGTGATGTTTAGATTCCACAGGTCTGGCAGTAATCATGCCTGGGTGTGGCTTGTGAAACTGAACCCAGTCATCAATTACATTTGGTCATTTGATTTAGTAGCTAAGGGGGCAATTTCTTTTTAACATAGGGCCAGGTAGGGCTGAACAGCATTCTTCCTTCAATAAATGAATCATCATTTAAACAGCATTTTGTGTTTACTTGGTTTATCTTTGTCTAATATTAAAAGTGGCCTGATGATCTGAAACATTAAAGTGTGACAAATATGCTAAAAACAGAATAAATACAAGAACAAATACTTTTTCACAGCACTGCACAGTTTCTGAGGCATCTGGTGAGAGTATATTTCTAAATGCCGTACAGAGTACTGAGGTAAAAGCTCTCTTGCAGTTAAAAGTGATTTGCAAAACCTCCTGTACGACTTTAGAATCTTTAAAAATGTAAGGAAAAGAGACATCTGAGAGGATAGCTCTACAACGACGGTCAGATAACCGAAACGCTAGTCATTTTGGCAATGGGCTACTGCTGCAGTTCAGACTGCGCTTGGGTCAAGACTATCAATTTGAGCGAATTCCCATCCCAGAAATCAATCACAGGCCCCTTTCACTGCACCTGCCTGAAGGACGGCAGGCTAAAGGAAGCTGGAGGGTTACTCTTAAATCATCTGCTCTCACTGCACTTCGCACACAGAGAGGAGAAGCTCTTGGATGTTTCATGAACAAATTTTTACTCATTATGGCACCGAAGGCGTCAGTTCCTTGGCTTACAGACCACACAAAGAAGTACCTACAGTCCTAATGCAGCTCAGAGAGAGAGAGAGACAGAGAGAGAGAGAGAGACAGCACAGTTTACTTGCAGCGGTCTAATGCAAGTAGTTATGCTATCTTCTCGCCAGGACTCCCTCTCTGACTGACAGAGAGGGCGAGAGAGGTTCATGGTTTACACACATGCGGCTGCTTTAAACTCACACCAGGGCTTTCACTCTGATGGACACTCTGAGTAGCAGCAGTAGTGCTTTATTGCAATGCCAACAGAGTTAATAACAATTTGTTTTAGCACCATTTAAAACAGAAAGCAATCAAACAAACACCACATTCAGCAACATCATACATTACAAGCATCAAACATAAATCGACCATAAAGCTTATACAAAAACAACGTATTGCACGTCCTGATCTACAAATGTATTTCAAAGCTACTGCAGCAACGTTGGCCATGCTTTACAGAAGGCAAAAAGTCCTTTCAACTTAATGAGAAATTTAGAGTGTATTATTCATTTCAAATAATATTTATTTTGCATGCATGTAAAGACCAGACTGTCAGGGTAACATTGGGATGGTGGCAAATTTGTTGTTGTCTTTTTCAACTTCTTTAGTTTCAATTAGCTACATCGACAATGAGGTCTATTGTCCAAAATAAATTCCATACATCCCTATATTATTCTATTTACAAAGTTGAAAAGAATACTTTAAGGTAATAAGAAGTATATATATATATATATATATATATATATATATATATATATATTTATTTATGATTGTAACTCTTAATTTGCAGCAAAATGCATCCTGGCATTGCTATTTTGTAGATATTCTCATTTTGGAGCACGTCACAGTGAGATTTCAGAAGGCGAAGGTTGCAACAGTTCAGAATTGGTCAAATGCTATTGATTTGTCACAGCCATGTAGGACCACAGTGGTTCAGTATCTCTTTTAAATTTACTGCTTTGATTGCTGAACATGGGTATTATGTGGATACTACCATAACACCTCCTCCACCAATTATTTGTTGTTGTTTCCCTGCATCACAGAGACTCAGGTCTGTGTGTTGTTGTCAAAACCAATAAACATCCATTAACAAACAATATTGTTGGTCCATTCATCGTGAATTGTTCACACAATGTAAAGGGCAGCTGATGTTTACAAATTATGCAAAAAAACAACAAAAACAAAAAAAACCACAAGGTTTTGCTCTGACAGTGACAATATTTTCTTTCATTGGGTGACAGGGTGGGGTTAGGGAAGAGGTTGGTAACCCAAATGTTAAGAAGAGCCATTTTGTCAAATTTCAACAAAAATCTAACCACCTCAGGAGCCACAAAATTTGATATCCATTTTATTGAAGTAACGTTTTACCGTCTTGGCTGTAAATATGTCTCAGTATATGCTAATTTACTAATAAAGACTAAAAAATATAAATGAAATTGTAGACTTACTTTGCTCTGCTTTGAGCTTTAGTTCAGCTGTTTCGCCGCTTTTCTCGCATCTCTGGCAGGAAACTTTTCCAAAAGTAGAACTGTTTCTTATAAAATGTCTCTCAATGTAATTTTTATGACACTGAAGTCGCTTCTCATTCGCCAGCTTCTTGTTTGAATTTTCCCATTCCACCTTAAGTGTAGCTAACTATGTACCTAACTGTTGCACCATTTAAGGTAGAACGAGAAAATTCAAGAAAAAAGCTGGAGAATGAGACTTTTTAGTGTTTGACAGTTTCTCGTTGCAGATTAAATGTATCAGGAAACCAGCTGGAGTGATTATAAATGCAAATGAGTCCACTTATCTGTAAATTATCAATGTTCATCTTAAATCTCTCTCTTTGCCTTTTTCATTCACTACTAGCTAAATGAGATTGTTGTCTGTGTTGCTGTGGTGATCAGCACTCTGCACGTCAACCTTCAGGGTTAAAGTGTAAATTAGCAGTTGTAAATTAACTCTACTTAGTGTTAAAACTGTGATGAACGATCAGCAGAGCTTTATTTTACTGCAAAGGAAGATTATTTTATTTTTACCTAACAATCTAATTCTGCTCTGGAGCCGCAACAGGGCAGTAAAAGAGTCGCATGTAGCTCTGGAGCCACATGTTGCTGACCTCTGGGTTAGGGTAAGTTTCTGGTGGACCAAATCACATTTTGACCAGTGACCTGACTTTGAGCAGCTTTGCTCTAAACAGAGCCCTGCTCTAAGCTCTAAGCAGACCAACGTGAGTCCAAATAGAGTTGCAGTAATATTCTGGACTTTGCTAACGTTCTGTAAAGCTTATTCAACCTCACAACAGTAGTTATGAAATAATGTAGAGAGTTTGTTTGTTTATTTATTCATTTTTTGAGCCAGGAGACTTCAAACCCTATATAACGTCCATAAAGATGCTCAGTGGAACTGTACAGATGTGCTGATCTGGGTTTCATAATGGTGATAACCAAGATGTTCGAAAACAAAGCAAATGCAGGAATAGCTTAGAGGGTCTTCATGAGCCTTATGAACTGAACTCCTAATCAATATTTCAGCAAGTACTGTCACGGTACAGAAAAAAGGAGGACAAGACGCTGAAAGAAAATAAACATCAGAAAAGTGCTGTTTGGAAATGTGCTGTTGTATATAAACTGATCGAACCTTAAACAGGCATTGTAGATATCTACACCAGACAGTCCCACGTTTGCATTACCCAAGCACCCTCAATTTAACTCACAAGCCATTTACCAAGCCCTCCATACAATCAATCGCGTGTGGCACAGCAGTGAAATATTGATTTGATGTGAAGTATTGATTTTGGACCTGTTTTCATGTTTCATAAAGCAGATCATTCTACAAATCTGAATGTTTACCTGCAATTCATAGCGGTTATCATTTGCTTTCAATTCAGTTCAGAGCACAGTTAACCATGGCAAGTTCAACAAAATGTAACCTTTAGCAATATAAACCATATATAAGTGTCTACAGGCCACATCTAGTTTACCAAGAAGGCACAATTTACGAGTCGAATGTTTGTTCTACAGTCTAGCAATCCTCCTATGTGTACATGGGAATCATTAAAATCATATTAAAATATTAAAATCAATGTTTAAAGTGAAGAGACAGTTGAATTAAAGTTGATATAACATCAAAATTTAATTACATTCTCAACAAATTGGTTTAAATGTGTTGGCTTAAAAAAATTTACTTACTGTTCTATGTTTTCAGCAACACTTTAGCCACCAGCTGGGTTACCATAGCAATGGCCCAGCAAAACCTTAGCAACCAGCTGAGATACCATAGCAATACCCTAGCAACCACCTGGAATACCATAGCCATGGCCTAGCAATACCTTAGCAACCAGCTGGGATACCATAGCAATGGCCAAGCAACACCTTAGCAACCAGCTGGGATACCACAGCAATGGCCTAGCAATACCTTAGCAACCAGCTGGGATACCATAGCAACAGCCTAGTGACAGCTTAGCAACCACCTGAGATACCACAGCAACAGCCTAGTGACACCTTAGCAACCACCTTTCATACTACAGCAACAGCCTAGCGACACCTTAGCAACCAGCTGGGATACAACAGCAATGGCCGAGCAACATATTAGCAACTAGCTGGGATACCATAGCAATGGCCGAGCAACACCTTAACAACCACCTAGGATACCACAGCAATGGCCAAGCAATACCTTAGCAACCACCAGAGATAACAGCAACATTACCCTTATAATATATTGATTACCCTTATAATCAATAGTGATATGGCTGTACGCCATACCACGACAGCAACCACATAATCAAGTCTATTTGAGACTATTTAACTCAGTGTAGTTTAAGGCAGGCCTGATGATTTAGGCCTGGAGTTGTAGATTAAGATAACTGTTAGGGTAGAAACCTCCATTACTTATTAGCAACATTAGCCTTGTAGCTCCAGTGCAAAACTAAAGAAGCAAACTTAAGACGCCAAACAAGTCTTGGCTTATCAACTACATCTGGGATGAAGGAACCACTGTTTAAACTTTTCACCCAGCCATCACTTTCAAATCTTCTCTGGAAAGTTCTCCTAGCTGCAGTGATGCCAGACTGAATCCATGGAGCAAAATATGGTACACAAAGTGGCAAAACACAAGATCTTTTTTTCCACCAGGCTCCTCAAACACAGCACTGCGAAAAGCTCCTACCTTGGCGATCTGCACACACCAGTTGAGGAGCAGCTGGGAGCCGATGTTGTCCTTGTGCTCATGGACGTAATCCAGCAGGCAGCCGTGGGGCATGAGCTGGGTCACCAGCTGGATGGTGGGGCTGAGGCACACCCCAAGAAGACGCACTAGGTGGGGGTGCTCCATGCTGGCCATGATCAAGGCCTCCTGGAGGAGACACATAGAAGCTCAGACATCATATACACAGATGCATGCATATATATGTATGTATGTGTAATATTAAACCACATATGTATTATACACCGATCAGACATAACATTATGACCACCTCCTTGTTTCTACGCTCATTGTCCATTTTATCAGCTCCACTTACTATATAGGTGCACTTTGTAGTTCTACAATTACAGACTGTAGTCCATCTGTTTCTCTGCTTTGTTAGCCCCCTTTTACCCTGTTCTTCAGTGGTCAGGACCCCCATGGACCCTCACAGAGCAGGTACTGTTTGAGTGTTGGATCATTCTCAACACTGCAGTAACACTAATGTGGTGGTGGTGTGTTAGTGCGTGTTGCGCTGGTCTGAGTGGATCAGAAATAGCAGTGCTGCTGGAGTTTTTAAACACCTCAGTGTCGCTGCTGGACTGAGAATAGTCCACCAACCAAAAATATCCAGCCAACAGCGTCCTGTGGGCAGCGTCCTGTGACCACTGATGAAGGACTAGAAGATGACCAACACAAACTGTGCAGCAGCAGATGAGCTATCGTCTCTGACTTTACATCTACAAGGTGGACTGACAAGGTAGGAGTGTCTAATAGAGTGGACAGTGATTGGACACAGTGTTTATACACTCCAGCAGCACTGCTATTTCTGATCCACTCAGACCAGCGCAACACGCACTAACACACCACCACCACATTAGTGTTACTGCAGTGTTGAGAATGATCCAACACTCAAACAGTACCTGCTCTGTGAGGGTCCATGGGGGTCCTGACCACTGAAGAACAGGGTAAAAGGGGGCTAACAAAGTATGCAGAGAAACAGATGGACTACAGTCTGTAACTGTAGAACTACAAAGTGCACCTAAATAGTAAGTGGAGCTGCTAAAACGGACAATGAGGTGGTCATAATGTTATATGTGTATATACAAAAATAACAACATTTTAGAAAAATATGTCCCAAATGTTTCCCATACAGTACTGTGCAAAAGTCAGAGACCAGAGACTTTTGTAAAAAGCCCTTTTATACAATCAGGAACAGGTTGTTGGCTCTAATATTGTAGATTAATCCTGTTTTTCCTGTCTAGTGAGGACATTTTTGTTCAGAAATTGTTTGAAAACAACCCTCCCCCACACACACACAGAGATTCATCATTGAAACGGCTCTGCAGTGAGCAGTTGCAGTGAATGGGCCACAAAGGCCTTTAGGACACTGGGATTTATTAGCTATCTTATACTGTGGTTGCATAATATAGTCCTCAGAGTGAGCTAAGACTCTCAGTGCGCTTTCATAGGTCCTAAATCAGGCCTAATATCATCAGGCACTGCAGGCTGAAGCACGGCCACCAGGCTGCAAACCTCACACGCCTGAGACAATCTATCATCCACTCGCTCCCAACAAGGCCCTGAATATATACTCTTTCTTCTCTCAGAAAGAGTGTCTGAAAGGTGCCATCAGTCCGGTGAAGTTAACATCTCAGGGAAAAAAAGAAAAGAAAAACACGCACAAACAGGGACATTTATCGAAGCCCACGCGCTCTAAAGACTGACGTCAATCAGTTTGCGGGGCTAGAGATGTTGTCTGTGAAGAAAGATGGGAGGTTAGGGAAGCTAAAGCAGAGGGGTTTGTCTGCATGCAGATTAATCCTATTTAACACAAAAGCAAGAGTTCTATAAAAAATTGACATGTAACAGTGGCAGGACCTCCATTTGGTCCTATACAGAACCATTTTAAAGAATGATATCATTGATATCATGTCCAAAAAGTAAAACATGTATCTCCATTTATTTCCTATTTTTATTTTTCTACATCATTTGAGCACAGCAGCTGCTCTTTATATTGAAATTTCATAATGAGTGGACAGTAAAATGATTGGACCCAATTACTTTACTGCAAAAAATGGCATCTTGTCAAGTGAAATGATCTCAAATCTAGTCGATATAAGCTCCCCAGACAAAAAATGAGTCACCTTGTGTTTCTTTTTGTCTGGGGAGCTTGTGAATAAAAATCGCTTCTCTTCCAGGCAAGAGTTGCTTCTAGAAGTCAACGCAAGTCCTTCACAACCAATTTCTGAAATAACGCTCCGCAGGGAAACGATATTCACAAGCCATGAAACATGCCGGTGGTCTTTCTTCAGTTTCTTCAGACTTTCATTAACAATTGTGATGAGAAGTTCTCATAGACTGGGATTTCTGGCACTGCTGGTCGACCCATATGACCATACACTTCGATACACCTGCTAATTCAGCTACTTCCTTCACACTGCGGCCTTTGGCCCAAATGCAATCACTCCTTTTTGCCAAGTATTAACATCTGCTTTCCGACCCATTTTCCACACATCGAACGAGACATTCACTGCACTGTACCACCTTTTCTCAATCTATGAATCCTGTCACACACCCTGCAGGTATTTATAGCCCGATCATCCTTGTGTATCTGCCAACCTAGTGAGATAATTTTACTTAATAAAATTACTTAAGTAAAAATGTCTAGAAATAAGGTAAATTTTCTTAAATTAAGCTTACAACAATCTCAACAGGAGAAATATTAGATGAATTGACTATATTTAAGATAATTGCACTTGACAAGATACCATTTTTGCAATGTTGGAATAAAACCTCTTTACCATAACTTACATTAAACGTTAAGAGCATTTGTGCCTTCTCCTGTAACGTTACTACTTTGCTTTTTTTGGACAGCAACAATACACAATAGATTCACTATCATGAACCATTAACCATGCAAAAAAAAAAAAACATGTAATATACTATTTTTCCCTAGTAACATGATGTGTCAGGGCAATTCTGCATATATTTTAATTATATTTAAAGAACATGATCAAAGCCAAACATGCAGGAATTTTGTTTACTTTATCACAGACTACTTTTTTAAACAAGCAAATATTTGACATCAGTCAGGTTTTACTGTGACTCCAATGAACAAAATAAGTAATAAGTGTTTCCACATCCAGGACACATTTCTGCTATATGAGGAACAGGCAGTGGTTTAGGGCCCATACACCCCATAAGCATGTATTTATTTTTGATATACACCAAACAGTTCATCAAGTAAACTGCCTTGCATCCTGCAGGCAGCGTCCTGTGACCACTGATGAAGGACTACAGGATGACCAACACAAACTGTGCAGCAGCAGATGAGCTATCGTCTCTGACTTTACATCTACAAGGTGGACTGACAAGGTAGGAGTGTCTAATAGAGTGGACAGTGAGTGGACACAGTGTTTAAAAACTCCAGCAGCACTGCTGTGTCTGATCCACTCATACTAGCGCAACACACACTAACATGGCACCACCATGTCCGTCACTTTATATCTGTCAACCCCCGCCTACATCCAGACGCCTTATCCTAGGGTTTCAGTCATGTGATTTTTCTGTTGTGGTCGCCATATTTGGCTTTGCTGCTCCGCATGAATGTAACTAGAGGTGAAAGATGGCAAAATTACTCACCTACTTTGAAAGAGAAAAAACGTTACCTCGACAAAGGCAATAAAACAGGCTTTGATCCTTATACAGTCCAACCACACCCCCCACCGAACTCCCGATCCCACTTAAATTGGCAGAAAGCTACCAAATTTGTGTTTTCCTGACATTTATATTTATCTCACACACAGCCCCACTCCCTATTCTGGAGTCAGGGTGGGTAAAGGATCCCATGGTGTTGCACAAAGAGAAGAAAAAACTCTCTCATCATAGGAGGGTAACGACATCAGCTAATTAACACAGATGTGAACAATGCTAGCCTTTAGATAACTTTAGCTAATGTTATCAGCCGAGAGATAAACAGTCGTCCCCCTAACGGAGCTGCAGACAGCCGGTATAACTTTACTTCTCTGTTTCTGATTAAATGACGTTTAAATGGAGAAACATAAACGTTAAATATAAGACTGAATGTCGTGGGTCGGAAAACGACGTCGTGTTTCGACAGACGTGATTCTGTAAGTTTGCTAGTGCAGTTAGTACAGAGTTCAGCTCCGGTCCTGAAACCCCTGCACTGCACAACTGTGGTTTAAAATACCTTACATTATTAGCTAATTAATCCCTTCTTAAGCTGAACGAGGTGTGAACAGCAGAGAGAAACACTAAATGGTAACACTTTCTATGAATGTCACGTTTGTAAGCATCCATAAACACATTTATAACATTTTATAATGCATTCATACGGCATTATAAACACGATTATAAACATTTATAAAAATGAATTACACTTTATAGCCATGTTTATTATACATTATGAATTGTTAATATAATGCATTATAAATAGTTTTAATAACATGTTATACTGTCAGTGCCAAAGAAGTCAGTCCCAGCTTGGAGAGCATAAAGTAAAGACAAATACCAAGCTAACGGTGGTGTACATTACCTTTCCCACATTGGGTAAAACACTGATGGCAGCACTAGTTTAAACTCTGACATTTGAAGCCTGTAATGTGCTTTACTGTGTATGTTTTACTGTTTCAGTAAATCCTTCAGTAAATACTTCAACTTGAAGCCTCACTCTGAACACTGGAGGAGGCTTTAGTACAGTACGCTTCACTTTACTTAGAGCGGACAAATACCACTTATGAGCTCTTATAATATGTTATGATCAGTACTTATAATGTATTATGTTAACAATTCATAATGCATAATAAGCATGGCTATAACGTGTAATGCATTTTTATAAATATTTATAGCCATGTTTATAATGCCTTATGAATGCATTATAACATGTTATGAATGTGTTTATAGATGCTTACAAAGGTGACATTCATAGAAAGTGTTACCCATTAAACTATACAGTGCAGCGGCTCCAAGTCTGGAGTCTGAAAACACTGAATTAAAGGTGTGTGTATCTCTCGTCATTCTTGGCTTCTGTTGCGTCTTGCAGGTGAATCATTCACAAATTAAAGGCATCACGCAGTGCAGTCACTCCCTGATTCGGTCCTCAAAATGGCGATAACTTTACAGTGTGGCGTCACGCGAAACGCAAGAACAGTCTAACAGGAAACACGCAATTGAGTTACATAAACGTCCTCACACTGTCAGAACATCAACAGATTAACATGCACATTACCCAACATATTAACACACACATTCGTATCCACAAAAGGCTCTCTTTAACCAGTCAGAAATACACAGGGCTATAAATGGATCTCTTGGCAGTGTTTCATGGCAGTTGCATCATCTCTGAGTGAACAGAGTCATTTTAGGTTCTCTATTTTTCCTTTTGAACTGAATGGAGCTGCATGAGATCTGACTGGAGCAGAGTGAAGCAGTGTGAACGCTACAGGCCTGCAGATATCACTCACATCCATAAACTCCACATTGGCTTTAGGGCCTGTTGCCTCGTTCAGGATCTTAATGGCCACCGGGATCTTCACGGTCTCACCCTCAGGCACCCAGATCCCCTGAGAGAAACAGAGATAGAGAGAGAGAGAGGCAGACAGTGAGAGTGAGCATTTATCCAAACCTACGCATCTACCACAGCAGGGGTTTCCAAACTTTTTCAAGCCAGGACGTAGATGTGGAGACAGTGTTAGTCCCAAGACCCACCAGATATTTTCTGAAGTGAAATGAGACAAAAACATGTCAAAACATCTTTAAGCTTTCAGCCTTTTCAGTTTTTACTCACTATTACTGTACTTTCAATTAAGAAACACAGTGATACACAAAGGTAAAAGACTGAGACATGCATTGGCCTCTACTGTTATACTACACTAGAATATAATAGAGTAATAATGCTTATCCATTTTGCTACTTAGATGTAATCTATCTGACTCACCTCTATTGTGAACTTTAATGATTTCCAGCACAGTCTAACTAAATTACACTGAAATGACTGACACGTTCTAGATATTTCATGAGGAAGTGTGAGGTAACTAGATAATTGTTTGGGGTAACATATTGGTGATACTGTTCATTAATATTTTTGGACATTACACGTCTCTGTTCTGATCCATGTTCTCAGCTAATGTAGTGAGCTACTCGGCTCTGTGCTCTGATCACTGTTGTTTTAGCAGCCCTGGTGTGTTACCAGGATATAACCAGCTGAGAGTGACAGTCAAGTTAAATGGGGAGTTTGTACCTGACACTTACTCAGGTGATATCTAGAACCTGTCAGTCATTTCAGTGTAATTTAGTTAGACTGTCTTGGAAATCATCAAAATGTTACCCAAATAATTATCTAGTATTTTAGAGTTTGCACCCAGCACTTACTCAGGTAATATCTAGAACCCGTCAGTCATCTCAGTGTAATTTAGACTTGGACCTCACCAATATGTTACCCCAAACAATTATCTAGTTACCTCATACTTACTCATGAAATATCTAGAACGTGTTAGTCATTTCAGTGTAATTTAGTTAGACTGTCTTGGAAATCATCAGTGTTACCCGGATAATTATCTAGTACTTTAGAATTTGTAACTGACACTTACTCAGGCAATACCTAGAACCTGTCAGTCATTTCAGTGTAATTTAGTTAATGTCACCCAAAACAATTATCTAGTTCTTTAAAGTTACCTCATACTTACTCAGAAAATGTCTAGAACAAACCTCTCAGTCATTTCAGTGTAATTTAGTCAGACTGTCTTGGAACTCTCCAACATGTTACCCAAATAATTATTTAGTACCTTAGAGTTTGTGCCTTACACTTACTATGGTGATATCTAGAACCTGTCAGTCATTTTAGTGTAATTTAGTTTGACTGTCTTGAACCTTACCAACATGTCACCCAAAACAATTATCTTGAGTTTGTACCTCACATATCATCAGGTGATATCTAGAACCTGTCAGTCATTTCAGGGTAATTTAGCTAGACTGCAATGGACCTCACCACCATGTTACCCAAATAATTATTTAGTACTTTAGTGTTTGTACCTGACACTTAGGGAATATCTAGAACCTCCAGTACTTTAGGGTACTTCAGTACCTAGTCGTGCATCACTTGAGAATTATTCTACAGGTATTAATAGCTACCTTGTAAACGGTGCCGAAAGCTCCAGCGCCAAGAATCTTCACCCTCTTCAGCTCTGTCTCCTTCAGAATCCGCAGTTGGGCCTGGTTAGGAGCCGTTCCACTCGGGGTCAGAGGCTCCACCAGCTTGCAGATAGATAGATAGATAGATAGATAGATGGATAGATAGATAGATAGATAGATAGATAGATAGATAGATAGATAGATAGATAGATAGATAGAAGTTTATTAATCTCAAGGACAATTGCAAAGCAGCAGCAACACAACTGTAGAAATCACACAGATAAATTTCATAACCTCATATTACCGAAACAGAAATTTTGTAGGAGAAGAAAAAACCTTATCACACTACGTGTTGTTATTGTTAATACATCTGCTATAAAAGCATATTTGCTTGTCTTTACTGTGGGATCTGGTCAAAATGTATTTTTTAATTAAAAGTTCATTTTCATTTTGTTTTTTACAGAATGAATAAATATTAAGGTATTTTAGATAAAAACAAATTATATGACACAAAACTAAAACTACTAAACAGTTGCTAAGTCAAGCAAGTTAGTTTGGTGGTCTTGATAGATGACTAGTAAATAAAAGGAATATGCGTGTAGGCAAGTCACAATGAAGGACTTTTATTTTATATATATATATAAAATACATTCAGTTAATATATCTGAAAACACCTGTTTTTTGTCATATTTTAACACATTTTGTGTCATATTGAGTAAAATATGAGTTAAAAATGAAAATAATCAATCACAATTAATCACTTCTATCTTATTTGCTTAAGGTTTAAGGTTTCATCCCACTTCAAAAGCAGTGTATTTTGTTATACCCATATGTGTGGACAACATGAACCTAATCAGGATGTATCTGTAGAGGATGTGTTAACTTATTTAATTATAGAAAATTAAATTAGTTAACACATCCTCTGCAGATAGCACACTTTACGCATGTTAATGCATAATTGCTGTGATTTTTTTTCCAGTATATTAAACTCAGCACTGCGAGCATTGTCTAGTGTGGTCTGTCTTGTGAAAGTGCTGAATGTATCATTTTAAAAGCCATTTAAAAGCTGTATTTAAACAAGAGGACTACAATCATGGATTCTATCAATGCAGCCTACAGTGTCCTGCAGCTGGGCTTTAGCCTGGGGCTCTTATAGATGGTTTGAAATGCATTAACAGTGTTAAAAATTTAGTGACATTAATAATTCAACCCTTTACTGCACTATTAAGGCAAAACCTTTGACAGTCTTAGTTAAAAGTACCACATAATGTGGAAACACAGGTGTGTCCAGTTAAGGACACTGCATCTTGTTTTTTAAACATTTGATCTGAGAGTCTACAAATATTGAAAATGCAATGCTGGCTAAAGCAATTTCAATGTAGTATTAAAGATCAATTAGCAATAAAAAGCTCATTTCCCACCAGATGAGGACAAGGACGAGGCCAAGGTTGAGCCTATTGTAAAAGTACTGTGTGAACTGCTGCTCTACATGGCTATTCAACCAAAGCTTATTTCAAATCCATCTGATGTGGCCAATGACATGAATCAGAGGAGGACGAGCTATCTAGGAAAAGTCAAATTAACCGCAGGGCGCGTAGCCGACTACACGTTTCGTGTAATTAATTAGGTCTTTCTTCGCCGTACTGCGACGAGTATTAGAATGGACAAAGTGCCTCAAAAGAATGACAAAAGCCTGAGGCTATCAAAGCCGAGTTGAAATATGAGAGTGAGGCAGAGATAAGGGCTGAGCAGAATGAGAAGTTTCAGGCGGTAGGAGTCAGAGACGGAGAAGGAGGAAAAAAAAGAAAAGAAAAAAGAAGCTTTAGCTGATAAAACCGTGGCGCGTGCAGCGAGAGCGTGGAAACGGGCATGGAAGGGCAGGGCAGGACTCATTGTTCTACCGTTATTGGAAAGGAAAAGAAAAACGAGAGGTGGGGGAAACCGGGAGGAGGAGAGGAGGAAGACAAAGAGCAAAAATAAAATGAAAAACGTGAAGAAAGTGGGGAAAAAAAGCACGAGATTGAGGAAAAAAAGCAGAGGGCAGGGATGAAGAGAGAGAGGAGGGAGAGAGAGAAAGAGAGAGAGAGAGAGAGAGAGAGAGAGAGAGAGAGAGAGAGAGAGCGAGAGTGGGAGGGCCACAGCGGAGTCCCTGGGCTCATCATGGATGGCTGATTAAAACACAATAGCTGTTCTTCATTTAAATGGAGTTCTAAATCAGGAGCGAGGGAGAGGGGGAGGGACAGAGGTGGAGGAAAAGTGGGAGGGGCTGGGAAAAGAAGGGAAAAAAGGGCACCGCTGCTGAGGCTGCAGGGAGCTGTCCGCTCAGGAAGGTGCTGAAACTTGGGGAGCTGTCCACCAGAACTGGCACTGAAATAGTCACCCATGAGGGCTGCAACAACTTGTCCTTCCGTAACAGAATAATCTGTCTATCTATTAATCAACTAATCAAATTAATCGATTAATCAACTAATCAAACCAATATTCCTTTGGCTGTCTGTGTTCTGATTGGTTCGCTCGGCAACAAAAAGTGCAACTGGATTCTTACCATTTACCAACCTCTAGTCTTTCATCGGTGGTCATTTTCTGACCACAGAGCTGCCTTTTTCTGCATGTTTTGGGTGGTGGTCCACTATGCCAGTCGTGTGCAAAAGTGTGGGCACCCGTGTCAAATTCAACGTGTTGTTGATTTTCTAAATGAAAAAAGTTACACATCCTCTACAGGGAACACACTTCTGCATATAGTAATGCAAAACTGCAGAATATTTGCAGAATTTCACAAAATAAATCATAAAATGTGGTTTGTGCAAAATTCATGGCACAGTGGGGGGCAGTCATGGGCTGGAGGTTAGGGAACCAGACTTGTGATTGGAAGGTCGCCGGTTCGATCCCCTGAGCTTACAGTATGTGACTGCAGTGCCCTTAAATGAGGCACCTAACCCCCAACTGCTCCCCGAGAGCTGTGGATAGGGCTGCTCACCGCTCTGGGCAAGTGTGCTCACTGCCCCCTAGTGTGTGTGCATTCACTAGTGTGTATGTGGGTGTTTGACTGCACGGATGGGTTAAATACGGAGGTGAAATTTCTTTGCTGTGGGACTAATAAGGGTAACTTATAGAAAAACTTATACTTACTTATTTTACATTTCATGTCTTACTTTTTTTTTCCGATATGTTAAATTACAACAAAGTTAAGTGATATAATGTGGTCGCTTGGCTTTTTTCACATTTAGGGAATGGAACTGAGAGGTAGTTTAAACAGAATGAACTGTTTTCAATAAAAACGAGAGACATCAACATAGATTTTTAAAGAAATGCCAATAAGTATGCGAGTAAGCTTTAAAAAAACGTGTTAATGCAAATTTAAAAAGGTACATAAAGAACATATATGTGCATTTACCCTCCCCTACATCCCTGCACTTAAAGTAGTCTTTTAAATAACCTGCCAGTTAAAATGCCACTGAAAACTGACATTTGCCCTGAATATTGTTTTTAAAGCCGCTCTGAATAAAAGCTGCTGAGTTCACTGAAATCTTTCACAGATGAAATCTACAGCTCGGTCCTATCGAAAAACACTTCTCTGAGTATTCTGAGCTCTTTCAGTTGTCTAGAGATGCCATCAGTGAACTCCTTATGCAGTGTATATGTATTAATGTATTATGTACATGTTCATAGGTGTTTAGAACCCGTGCTGGTTCTTTGAATCTGCACGCTGCAGTTTGCGCTCATTTCTCTGTTGTTTTCCATAAAGAGCAGCGCAAGTCGTCACCCGGCCTGCGGCCAAGCAGCTGCAGCACTCATACATGAGGAGAAGGGGTCAGAGCCCACAGGTGCAGCAGCTCAGGATCCACACACAAAACTGTGACTTATGACCTGCACTCCCACACACAGGCGTGCGCTACCAGCTTAGCATGAGAAAGAGACGGAGAGAGAGGGATATTAATAGCAGGATTGTGAAAATGCATCAGTATGGAGGTAAGGATTCAACTGCAATGATTTCTGAATGTTGTAATTTATTATTATAATTATATAGATATTTTTTGTCCAAATAAAACTCAGATATTAACCAGGTTAGTACGAAGCACAAATCCTAAAGTACTACCTAATTATTTTGGGTAACTTAGTGGGTAAGTTCTCCAGCTCCCTCCTGCGACCCAGAAGGATAAGCGGCTTAGAAAATGTATGTGTGAGTGTGTGTTCAACATACACAACTTTTTTTTTTATTTATTTACTTACATACTTGGATTTCTTGAAAAATCTATGTTGATTTCTCTCGTTTTCATTGAAAACAGTTCCGTTCTGTCTAAACTACCTCCCAGTTCCATTCACCAAATGTGAAGAGAGCCAAAGTTTCCATAGCATGTTACTTCATTTTGTTGTAATTCAACACACAGGAAAATAAAAGTAAAACATAAAACATAAAATGTGCCATAATTTTAAACAACAGTTTATGCTTTATTTCTTTCTAATATGTTAAATTCAGAAAAGATGTTGTAATGGATGGATGAATGGACAGATAGATAGATAGATAGATAGATGGATGGATGGATGGATGGATGGATGGATGGACCTGCTGAGGCTGCACTGGTGTTATATCACACCTAAACACTTCCCATAGAGATGAGGGTTATCAGTAGCTGAAGTGTGTGTGTGGATGATCTGGACACAGTGCCATGTATGGATGTGTATGCGTGTGTGTGTGTGTGTGTGTGTGTGTGTGTGTGTGTGTGTGTGTGTTTATGATTTGGACATACTCCCATGTCTGGATGTGTATGTGTGTGTTTTTTTGTACGTGTGTGTGTGTGCGCGTGCGTGTGTATGCACCGCAGAGTGCTGTGGTTTGTCAGTGTTGTTTCTGGACTGCAGTACTGGGGAATCCCCTTAAGGCTGTGAGACAGGCAGGGCTGGAGGAGTCCTGACGGGGGAGTGAGTGTGTGGTGATTATCGCTCCTCTCACTGCCAGGCTGTGATACAGTGCAGCAGAGCAGGACAGGCTCAGTGCTAATACTGCTGCAGCTGAGACCCACACACTGAGGTCCTCACTGCTACAGTCACCCACCTCTAATCTACAGGTCTTCACAGTGTACTGCAGTGCGGGAAGGTGTGACAGACACATACTGGCTCATACGGCCAAAAGTCCTAACGCAGTATAATTTTACACGCGCCGGAGTCGCTGACACGGTCGAGAGCAGTCCGCCACCCACAAACAGCCAGACGAGAGACTGACCACTGATGAAGGACTAGAGGATGGCCAATGGTAGAACTTTATAAACTTTATAAAGACTGTGAGATAATCTTTTCACAGTCTGACACAGCTGATGATGTCATAACATGCTTCA